TCCTGTGCCTGCCACCTTCAGCAAAGGAGGACAGAAAACGCCATTGCACTGGTTTCCATGTCAAAGTATCCCAAACTGGGTGGCTTAGAAAAACAGAACTTCTCTCAAAGTTGTGAAGGCTGGAAGTCTGAAATAAAAAAGTTGTCAGGGCCATGTTCCTGCTGCACTCTGGCGAAGGGCTCCTCCTTGCTGCTTTCTAAGTTTGAGTGTGGGTGGCGATCCCGGTAATCTTTTCCCTGCACAGCACCTGGAAACTCCAGTTTCCCCTGCTGCTCTCTCCACCACCTTTCCTGTGTGGATCGGTATGTGCAAGTCTCCCTTTTCTTTAAGGATACTAGCCATTGGGTTAGTGCCCACTCTAATTCATTATGACCTAATTTTGCCCAGACTACATCTGCAAAGAGCCAATGTCCAAATAAGGTCACATTTACAAGTACTAGGTTAGGATGTGAAGACTTGTTTTTTTCTTAAGGTACTGGGACTTGAGCCCAAGGCCTTTGCACTGAACTACATCTCCAACCCCTTTTTCTTTTTTATTTTGGGACGGTGTTTTGCTTAGGGCTCTAACTTGCAGTGCCTCTGCCTCAGCCTCCTAGACTGTTGGGGTTATAGCGTGTACCACCACACCCAGCCTAGGCTGTGAGGATATCTTTTGAGGATACATTTAGTGCACAACAGTGGTGTACCCGTGTGTCCAAAAGGAACAGAGAAATGGTTTGGTGAACCCCCCTCTAAACTCTGCCAAGTTAACATTTTCTGCCAGCACTGTGAGGGCTTCACAGAACTGGTCTTTGTAACATTCTGCAAAAAATGCATTTGTAGCACCAGACAGCTCTGACTCACAAAAGAACTATGGAAGATAACCTAGCTCTAAGATCTAATTGCTTATACTTCAAGGATCTGTACCCCACTCAAATATCTTAGGATTTAAAAAAGGAGTAAGTGGCCGGGAATTTAGCTCAGTGGTTTCGCTGCCTGCTACGCAAGTGCAAGGACCCGGGTTCGATCACTGGTACCAAAAAAACCAAAAACCAAACAAAAAAGGAGTATGTGTTAGATTTTGTAATACTATTCATGCTAATGGTCTAATAGAGTAGGCATATGAAAATTAGTATAACCCCCTATAAAATAGGCTTGACATAAAGCCAATAAGGCCTTCTTCGTGTTTCTGTGTGGATCGCCGTCGTCGGACTGGTTTCCACTCTTGGCGTTTTCCATTGCAGTCTTTGCTCATCTTACCACACTTCATGAAGTGGCTGCTTTTCATTGAGTCAGCTGCGGTTTAATAGAGGACAGTGGCCTTTAAATCAGATCTTGTTCGTCGCGTTACCTCGGGAAAGCCACCAAGCTGCTTTTTTCTCCTGTTTTCTCACCTGTGCTGTGATGAGTGTTAGCCTCCTTTCCGGCTATGAGAATCCCATAAAGTTGCTAATTATCCAGTGCTGGCTGCCTGCCCACTGTGCTTGGGTGTTATCAGTGACCGAAGAGACCTCTGTCCTCATGGAGCTTCTGTCCCAGGAGCCAAAATAGGACTTGGACATTATAAAATGTTTTACAGGTTTTGGGTATGATCATTATTGGTATCTTATATCTAGAAACTCCAGTTTCTCTAATATGTTTAAGAAATCTTATTTAAAATAACACATAGCTCCTAGATATTAGAAAACACACAAAATGAAAGAAAATCTAAGATTTGAAAAAAATGTATCCGTAGAAATTTAACCATAAATTTAAATTCATGATAAATATTGAAAATATTTGTTTATTGCATTTAAAGATAGTTCCCACTTCCCTGTTCGATACCAGGTACTGTATTGGGCTCCATGGGGATTCACGATAGATACCAATGGTTCCTGCCAGGAGCTCAGAATCACATCAGGAACTAAAAGCTGTGTCATTAGCATAGAAAGTGAAGAGCGCCTGGCAGAGAGGCACAGAGAGGTTGACTGAAAGCTTCAGAAGAAGAAAGAGATTGCCAGACTCCGGGAACATCTTCTCAGCATTCCGTAGCTGTGGAACATTTATCTTCTGATGTTATGATTGGCATAAAATCACTAACTCCTGTTTCATAATTTATCTCCTGGTTGGGATTTTTATTTTTTATGTTAATGTTGAGTGTTCACCTCTGTGGCTGATGTTATAGTGCTTGTACAGTACCTTCATTGTAAAGCAAGTATATATATATGAAACTTAATATTCCAGAATAACACTGCTGTGGTTCACGTTTGTGCCCCTCCAAAACTCCCACTGAAACTTAAACCCAGTGAGACGTACAGGGGGGACTTTAAGAGCTGGTAAGTCTCGGGGGATTAGTGACCTTATAACAGGGACTAGCAGGCCCTCTCCTTGCTCTTCCATTCCTCCCACCACTCAAGGACACAGTGTTTGAGGTGCTGCCTTGGAAGCAGAGAATGGGCCACACCAGAGACCTTGACCTTGAACGTCTAGGTCTCCAGAATTGTGAGAAATACATTTCTATTATTTATAAGTTACTCTCAGATATTTTGTTTTAGCAGCAAAAATGGACTAGGGCAGGCAGTAAGCGACTAGGAGGGTGTATCAGATCTTCAGTTAGCGGCTTAAATCCAAGTGCTTAGAGCCATGCACTGTGTAGTTGGATGTTTACAGCGAAGGCACGGAGGCTGTGTGAGCATAGTCAGAAGTTACTGATTCAAAGCTGTGACAACATGGAGTACCTTTATTTTCAATTTACATTGCAGAGGAGATAGGACCACCATGATTATGCTTCTAAATGGGCTGCCAGACCCGTGGACTGAACCGCACATTCTGACTTCAAATGAAAATGAAGGATCTTAGTAGCATTTTTTTTCCCTTAGATCTAGTGGCTACAGCAGTTTTGGAGATCACGTAGTTTCCTCAATGCCTTTGCCAATTTCAGGACCTTTGAGTGACCACTGTCCTCTCTAGAATATTATTCCTTCAGATAATTCCTTGGCTTGCACTATCAGCTCATTCAGATTTCCAGAGAGCATTTCCTGGCTCCGTGTATAAAATTGTGTCTGTCTCCCATTATTCCTTCTCTGACTGTCCCCTTATAGCATATACCACTAATAATTTTGTTTACCATCAAGTTCCTGTTAGAATTTAAGCACCATGATTACAAAAAACGTCCCCCCCCCCCTCTATTTTTGCGGTACTGGGGATCAAACTCAGGACCTTGTGCTTATGAGGCAGTGCGATGCCACTGAGCTGCATCCCCAGCCCAAAATGTTTTTTGTTTTGTTCAGCACTGTGTCCCTGGGGAATAGGGGCAGTGCAGACCTACTGGCACATGTTCCTGAGAGCTAAGAGGAGAGTAGGGAAACACCAGACGTCGCGGGGATTTGGGTGCAGATAAAGATGAGAACTGGCGTTGGGCTTCTGGCAGCATCTGCGGAAGTTCCCTGCGGGTTTTGTCTGGGAATAAGGCATTCCTTGCGTCTGGCCTGGCCCGGCAGTCGCTGTGGCAATGGTGAGAGGACTGTGGCCGCACGCGTTTGCTCAGACGGGCCTGAGTGAAAGGGGGCAGCAGGACGGCGGCTTCGGGTGGGGAAGTGTAGGGTCCTGTGGCCAACAAGGCAGAGGGGAGGAGCAGTCAGAAAAGCAGGTGGCTTTGTGTTGTCCTCTCTGATGGAAAGGTGAGTTTCCGACTTTGCTAGTCATTTTCATGGAAGCAACAACTGTTTTTTCTTTTTTTGGTACTGGGGATCGAACTCGGGACCTTGCGCTTGTGAGGCAGGTGGTGGAACTATTGAGCTAAATCCCTGGCCCTGTGAGCAATAATTTAAAGCTAGACTTCTCTGAGTTGAAAACTGTGTATTTATATTTGCAATTATAATGATAGGATTAGCAATAGCAGCACATTTAGAGAGGTATCTTCAGTTCTCAAAATGCATTGATATACATTATCACGTTTAATGCTTACTCAATTTGTACATCTACGTATTCTGTGTATTCTACTTCTGCATTTGTTTTCTAGGAATAGGGGTGCGTGTTTAGCGTGTGTATATGTGTATTTGTACAAAACATGTGGGACTTTGATTGCGTCCACAAATATGGCCACCGTGATCCAGTAGGTGAAATTGGGCTTCCTGTTATATAAGCAAATATTTCTTTTCTATCAAGAATATTTCTGGAACTTTATGTTACAATATCATTTCGAATAGAGATGGTGTTTTTTTCAACAGTTCATAGAGAGAATTAGGTGCAGGAAATTCCAAGACAAATTATAAAATGTTTTAATTCCAGGACTTCCTTCTGTTTGTATTACTCATGGTGTCTTATTTATATCTTTAACAAACCTTGATTAATTGCTGCTCATGAACCATGCATCATGTTTGGTTCTGGGAAATTCAATGATCTCTCCCCACCCAAGCGCGCGTGTGCGCGCGTGCACACACACACACACACACACACACACACAGAGCTGGCTAACTGCACAGCTGTAGGATGGTATTACAGGTGCTCATGTCTAAGCTGCCCATAAAGAGGGGAGGTATAGGAGGAGGGAGTAGTCTGGGCTGCTTCCTGCTGGGGAAGCTGTTCTCCAGGCTTCATGGCAGAAGTCATCTTTGAATGGAGTTTTAAAAGATTACCATGTTTAATCAAAGGAATAACCTCCTAAAAATGTCACTCCCTTACATTCACTTGAGAGCATTAAGATGCACCCCTGAGGTCCAGGGACTCAGTGCCTGGTCCCACCCTCCCCTCCTTGAGCACCATGCCTGCTCAGTGAAGTACCTATGGGAAGGAAACCAAGTGCAGCTTGGTTTTGTGCGTGGGTTGAGAGCTGATGGAATCAACGGTGTGTAACACCAACCCAGCAGAGCCCCCAAATCATTCCTGGTCCCTGGCATTCTTTTTTCAAGGCTTTCTTCATTGTAGCCATCCCCTCTGGTAATTGGTTGAATCAGATCTAACAATGCAGTCAGATAAACAGTTGTGGCAGCTGCTGCCATGGCAACATCACCATCCTCTCCCTCCCAGCGCGCCCCTTCCCCACCCCTCCTCCTCCCGCTCTTCCCTCCAGTGCTCGCAGACTTGCCAGGGCTCTGTCCAGGCTGCGGGGTGGATGGCTCAAGCCCTTTCCTTCCCAAGCTGTACACAATGATGAGCGAGGATGCAGCTCAGAAAAGCGACAGTGGAGAGAAGTTCAATGGCAGCAGCCAGAGAAGGAAAAGACCCAAGAAGGTAGATTGCAGGAACTGGGAATGTCTGCATAAATATGTGTGTGTGTGTGTGTGTGTGTGTGTGTGTGTGTGTGTGATATCAGCAAGGCTATGGAAACCACCACGCATTAGGAGTAACTAGAGCTGGCGGGAGTGGCAAGCCTTGCTTTTTGAAGAAGCAGGTGCAAGCTGCTGCTCTCTGAGAACATTTAGAACGCCCTGGTTCATAATGGATCCATTGCCGGGTGCATGGAAAGATAAGGTGTGTTCCGAGGTTGGTTATTGAGGCTTGTGGCTGCCACCAGATGTTCCAGGTAGTGACTGGGTACAAAGTTGTTCATTTTGACAGTGAGTTTGACAGCGAGAATGTGGGGCAAGGAGAATTGTGTGGCCAAACGCAGATTTTTGCCCGATGCTTTTTCTGAGTGATGGTTTTGAGGTGGCTATACAGCCAGTGCTGGTTGGCTCCACGTTATGTGTATTCTTCCTAAGGAGAAAAGACTGTTGTGACAGGAGAAATAGGGTCCCCAGCGTGATAGTCCTGCGGTTCGCTTGGATCCTTTGCGGTGTTCCCAGACGTTAGGGAGATAGCTTTCAATGATTAAGATAAACAACTAAGGATTACATGGGTGGGGAGGGCGGGCACACAAAGCAGTCTGTCGGATTTTAGGGATTTCTTAATCAGGCACGCATTCCCACACCCTTGATTTTCATGGAAATGATACCGATGAGAAACAGTAAGCACAGATGCAAACTATCGGCCCCACCCAGCATGGCACTTCTTTCTTTATGGCCTGACTCCTGGTAAACTTGTCGCCTCCCCTGGCCTGAGCCCCACCTCTGAAAGAGAGGCTTTGTAAATAATTCTCCTAAAATCCATTTGGATCCTGGAGCTGTATATGGGCAGGGTATTTTGTGATTGTAATGTAAATGGTTTCTACTTCAGATGGTTTGGATATTGAATGAGCTGATTGCAAAAATAATATTCACAAACAAGTGACTGGTTTTTATTTTTCATGTGTTTCAAAATTACAGATCGCTTGTGTACTGAATGTCTCCTAATCTAAAAATAATCTAAATGATTTGAAATCTCTGATACTTAAAAGATTCCTGTATCAGCAAACAAGAGAGTAGTGTATTTTTATGGTGCCATGTAATTGAGTAAAAACAAGCATGCCCACATATGACATTTTAAAAATACTAGCATGAAGATAGTTATGCAATTTGATAAAAAGGAAATGGATAATTGTGGGCACGAGGGAGCATTGGTAGAATGCCCTTTTGTGTCCGAGCATTCTGGATCGCCCAGCGCTGGAATACATTTTCCTATACTATTACCTAATTGATCAGTATTTTAAAAAAAAGAAAGGAGAGAGAGAGAGAGAGAGAGAGAGAGAGAGAGACAGAAAGAAAAAAAGAATTCTGCTTTAATCCACATTATCATTTCAGTACCCTCTTAATTTCTCTCTGAGGTCCTTGTGCTACATTAGAAGCACTATACTCAGGTATGCAAAGGGAGGGGACATGCATCTCAAGGAGATTTCCAGCTCTGCCTGGTGATACTGGATTCATATAACTACATTCATCTAGAAGTATTAGAGAGCATAGAGATGGCAAAATTATCCCGTGTAGTAACTACAGTGTTTTTAAGCTCCACTTTCTCAGATGATTGTATTTTAGGAGTATATTCTTTTCCATATACAGCCAAAATGATAGCAGTTAATAGCAATGTTTGAATATGTGCCTGTGTCCTGTGCATACCATCAGAGTCAGACTAGATGAGCTGTTAAAGAACTGTGAAATACTGAGTGTTAAAAGTTTTTTCACCTAAAAGGAAGTGCTTTTCAAAAGGAACTAATTACACCATAGAGGACACACACACATCCACACACCTCAGCTTGTGAAGTCCCACATAAGTGGGTTCTCATCTCAGTTCTGCTGTTCAATACTGTGTGTTTGCAGAATGTCATGCCCAGGCACTCTTCTATTCAAAGGGGATAATTTCTATACATTTTGGTGATTTGTGAGGATTAGAAAGGATGGGCACAAGATTCCTTAACCAATATTTAAATACATAGCTGGTGGCAATAACTTTTTGGCATTGTTACTGTTTTCTTAAATGGATGTCACTTATTATAATAAGCCATTTAGTAGGAAAGTCTGTCCATACCTTTGAGAGAAGCCAAAATGGCAGAATACAATATTTGTACTTAAAAGATAATAGTTTATTTTTCAAAATGTCAAAAGTTATGTGCTATAATCAGAAACTTTTTATCTCATACAAATTTTTGAGATTTACACACATGTACCCTAGGAATTTAGGTCATGGTTCCACATCATTTTATGCAGCGGAGGACTTAAATTTTTGCGTGTAAAAAGTAGGCCATTAAATGTGCTTTGATGAGGAAATAATCAAGAGATGAGCCGCACCGCCAGCAGAAGACCTGAGGGAAGCAGGCACTAGAGCCCAGTCCAAGTGGCCTCCCTCAGCTGAGAGGTCTGTGTCCACTAGAGGTTCACGGCGAGTTGCTGTAGATTTCTGGGTAATCGCCCAGCAGTAGGGGCCCTAGGCTCACTGTGGCCTGGGCACAGTTCTGCCGTGACCATAGCCCTCAGAAGCCCACCCCTGCTCTAGTAAATGTGTAGCAGGCGGGCTGTAGCCACTTGCTTTTTCCCTACCTCACAAAATGGGTTCTTCTGAGGGACAGAGCTGAAGGCTCTCCATCTACAATGGGGTAAATAAACTTGAAAAACAATTTGTTTGTCAGATGTTGGTGAGTGCCTTGGGGCTAGAAATTCTTCCAGCCTTTCTTAAGAATGGGTGTTTTGGCTTCATTAAGCGTGTCCATTCAGAGACCACCAGGATGCACATGTGGTTGAACTCGAGGGGTTTAGGACTCTTTGGGGCAAGGGGCACATGACGAGGGACCAGGGGACATCTTAGTAAGAGGTGCCAGAGATAATTCACTGGTCTTGGGCTTCTGTTCAGTGAATTGAGAGAGGGTCCAAGAAAGAGGGGTCATTCTCTGCAGGGGATGCTCTCAGGAGGCAGGGGCACCTCTGTGGCTGTGTGTCTGATGAATCAGAGCCATAGGAGGGCAGGCGAGAGCAGTGCAAAACTGTGGCTGGTGAAGAAGCAGCAGTGTCTCATCTAGCAGGAGGAGGGGCACTTGGTGTCTTGCGGCTTGAACAATGTCTGTGTTTTGTCTGTGCTCGGATGGATGAGGGCACAGTGCTGTTCTGCCCTGCCCCCGTCGGGTCACAGTGTGGCCTTGTGTGATGCTGCCCCTCCCTGAGATGATTTATGTGCAGTGCGGGACACCATGGCTCAACTGGTCCCACAGGGGCAGCGCCGCTGCTCCCCTCTCTCTCCAGCGTGCACGCAGAGATGTTTTTGCTGAGAGAGAGATTGTTTAATATCAGACACTCGTTAGTGTCCAAGGAAAAGAAATTGTGGGCGGTAAAAGTGTTAATATTTCAAGAAGCCGTAGCCTGAAAGCTCGTTTATTTCATACAAACATGTGCTTCCCGAGGTGCAGATTGGCTTGGATGGGGAAGTGAGGGCAGAGGGAGGGCCGGGGCTGCCCCTATCAGTTGGGCTCTGAACTGGTAAGAAGCTTTGGGGGCTGTGGACGCCTAGCAGTGTGAGAGGATTTTGAACCTGCTCTAAATCTGAGATAACTTGGTAAAAACTTACTCCACACAGTATTTTGGTGGATTAGATTAAAATAATACATATATACATACATTTGTTTCTTTATATTTGTATGTGTGTGGTACTAGGGTTTGAACCCAGGACCTTCCCACTGAACTACATCCCCAGCACTTTTTAATTTTTATTTTACTTTTGAGAGAGAGTCTCACTTAAGTCCCTCATTGCCCAGGCTGGGCTCAGACTTGTGATCATTTTGCCTCAGCCTCCCAGAGTGCTGGGACTAAAGATGTGGGCCACCATGGCCAGTTCCCAGGACCATATTTTTCCAATACTCATTTTCCCATTTTGTGCCAGTGGCATGGCAGCGCATCTATACTGGATGAGGCTGCAGGCGTCTTTGGTAATTTACATACATGAAAACGAAAAAGGCTGAGCATCAATTGCATGGGCCAGCAGCCATCTGAAAACTTTAGGCTTTACAAGTGCTTCTAAAACACAGAAAAAAAAATCAATGGCTGAGTAACTATTTCTTTCATTTGGTGAAATAACTACATAAAGATAAAAATGAAATGGAAGCACTATTATTTTTAACAGAATAGTAGGATAAAATGGTTTTGTAGGATATCTTGTGCTCAATGAAGATACTTGCATCTGAACCATTAAAATATTTGTGACTATTGCAAAATAGTTTAGTTTTATGTAAATTTTATTGCCGTGCAACTTGCCCTTCCTAAATAGAGAGATGAGAGACATTACCAGATGTATGGTTGAAATGTTCCACCACAGAAATGTGAATAAGAAACATATGAAAAGGTTTATTTTTTCATCAGCTTCAGGCAGTGTGGCCTTTTGCATGGAATCAGGTAACAGGTTCAGCCTTTGGATGTCCAAATGTCCTGTAGTCAAATCAGTTTTGAATTTGAGTTGGTGCCTTATCCAGTTCAATCAAGCCTAGAAATGTCTTCATGAATAATTCATCCTGAATAATGTCCCCATTTCTTCATTTTTCCAAATAAATTATACTTTACCCTTTAAAAAAAATCCATTTGTAACCCAAAATAGTATATTTTGCCTGATGACAGCAATTCCCATCACTGAAGGTATTTAAAATGACCATCTGTCATTTTCTTGGGTGGAAAAATCTCCTCGAACCTATATTCTGTGACTTTCTTTCAGTGTTTTTCTGTTTCTATTGACTCATCATTATTATATGGATTTTTCCCATTCATAATTTTGTATACTTGTAATAGCTCATTTATCCTGCTATATCCTGATCAGAGGAGTGTTCTGCTGATAACAACTACCAGAATCACCTGGACTGTCGAGTAAAGGAATTCAGTTCTTTGGACCCACTTCAGACCTACTGG